CGGCCCTGCGCCCTCGGTCCCCTCCCCGCCCGCTGGACAGGTAAGACCCGGCTCGGCCCGCCCCCGGCCCCGCCCTCCGCTCACCTGGCGGAGCGCCGGGACCAAGGTCCGCTACCTGCTCAAAGTGAGGATGCTGCCTTCCTCCCTGTTCTCCAACCTGCGTGTCGGTCTATCCGTCTGTCTACTGTGTCCACTTCGCGCTTCGTGTCCCCTTGGCTCTCGGCTCTCTCCCCGGCCGCCTGGTCTGCCCCCTGGCACCGGACTGGACACTCACTTTTCCGTGCTCCGTGGCACTCTGCCTCGCGTGCGACCTGGCGTCCCTCTCGGGGTCCCGGGACTCGCGCGCGATCCTCCACACCAGCCTTCTCCCTTTGGGACCCGGTGTCTTTTTGTCTGTGTTTCTGGGTGATCTCTCAGTTGGGGGATTCGTACATTACCGTTGAAAGAAGTCTTCAGAGACTCCCTGAGCCCGGGCAGAGGCGGCCAGGGTGCCTCTGTCCCGTTCGACGACGCCCTGGAGGCTGGGTGTGTTGGGGCGGGGGACGCTAAGCTCACCCAAAGCTGTTACAGCTCGGTCTCACATTTTCCCACCCTGGGCTGGACTAGTAGTGTTGCTCTACCACCCCAAGAGCACCCGGCTCCCTTCTCTGGACTGACTTATTCCTCTCCTTCCCCACCGCGGGGCTTTTCTCCATCAGACCCGAAGGTTCAGCTGCCTTCTAAGCCTTCTAAGCTTATGTTTAAGGTGTGAGTGTGCCTGGGTTTCCCTGACAAGTTTTGTCTGGCCATCTCAGCAGGATGCTCTCTTGGCCTTCACTCTTTCAGGTGGTGGTCCTTGAGGCTGTTGGTTGTCCCTCTAGGGTGCCTGTTTCTCCGTCTGGTAGCAGACAAGTTGTTCTCAACTGTTTCGTTGCTGTTACTCTGGTTTTGGGCAGACAGGGGTTCTGGAAGTGAGCAGTCTTGGACAAAGGAGTGCGTGTCTGAGCCTCAGTATCTGTCATAAAACAGGGACAATAGGGTTTACCTGTCGGGGTGTGTGCCTGTATCTTAGGTATCTCCATGGTGCTGGTGGGGATGGGAGAGGGACTTTACAGTCCCCGGCTGGGGTAGGGCTGGGGGTTCCACAGAGCCTGTCACAAAGTCCAGCCTTGGAGACCTCACCACCATCGGAAACCCCATTCTCTGCACTCTCCCTGCCTGTTACACTCCCACCAATCCCCTGCCTGTCCACACAACCAGCCACACTTACAGCCACCTCTCCCCCTGCATAAACAAGGTGATGTGGCCTTAAGGATGCTGCCAACGCCCGCAGGCATTGGAAGTGTCTGTGGCACTGGTGCCAGCTCTGGACCTCTGTCTTGCCCCCAAGCCTTGTTTCACGGTGCCAGCCAGGAGCCGAGGCATTTCCCTTCTTCTGGTAGACTGACTTGTCAAGTCCTGAACCTGCTTTTTAATCCCTCGTCCCTCCCTGATTCATCATCTGTGTGGTCCATGGTCAGAACAGGTGTTAGGCTGACCCTGGAGCCCAACCGTGATGGGGCCCACACAGCAGCAAAGAGGGCAGCTTCTGGAGATGCAGCCTTCTCTCAGTAGGCAGGGTGGAGGCTCCCCGGCTGTTTTTGTTTGAGCTGCAGCCTGTGTTCTCTTGCACTGAGGCAAGAATGGACATGGGGGCCTTCCCCTGCCTAGCACGTGAGCCCAGCTTTAACTGTCCTGGCCTCCCACCATCTCTGTTCCTGCAGCCTCTGGTCACAACCTACAGGAAGCCAGCTCAGCAGTTCTTGTAACCACCTCCCTCCCTTCCCCTTGGGAAGCTTACACTCAGACCCTTCTTGCCTCACTAAATGAAGATGACGCCTCCTCCTCAGTCTTCCCAACCCCAGGCCTTCTGGCTCCAAGTATGGCCACTAAATTAACTACAGAAACCTCTGTTGGCCCAGCCTCCCCCTCTGTCTTTCCCCACAACCCCATCCACATCCTAGGTTTCAGCAGCAATGGAAGGCAGAAGTGTCTACGTCCCTGACTCCCTCTGAGCCTTTGCTAGGGTGATTTCCTCCATCTACATTGTCTCTCAGTCCTGTGTTCAGGCCTGTCTTTGCAGACTAAGATCATATGTCTTCTTCTAGGCGAAGCCTCCTGCTCTGCTGGCCTGTGTCTCTCATGACCCCAGGCCTGGTGGAAGAGGTACCTCCTTTGCCTACACAGGCACCGGGTCTCCTTTCAGGGTCGTCCCAGAGCCTGACACCCACTAGGTGCCATGCACACCTGGCATCCTTGGTCAAGACGGCAGGAATAAATGGCCATAGCTACGTAGACTACAGGCCGTAGCTTCTCCCTGCATTCTGCTGGGTCCTGCCGGCCAGACAAGGGGCTCGGCTGGCTCCAGGGCAAGGACTTTGGCTGGAGACAGAGCAAGCCACTAGGAAATCCCTGTGTTTCTGGGGCTGTGCAGAGCTCTGAAAGATAAACCTGACCTCCTTTGTGCCTGGTCATCACATGCAGTCTGCCTTTGCATCCCAACTGGCCACTTAGCTGCTGTGCCAGTGAGAGGAATGTGGAGTGTGGGGGGGCTCTGCACTCAGGCCTCAAGCTCTGGGAAAAGCAGGGCTTCCCTCCAACACTGGCCCTGGGCATGGTCCCTGGCAACAGGTCATTCTAGCATCCCTGTTCTGGCCCATTTGGCTAGGATCTGCCTCTGTCCTGTCTGGCCTCCTCCTTTGCTGGTCCCATTCCAGTGCTCCCTCTACAGCTGTGGCCAAGGTACAGCTGGCCTTCCCTGCAAGGCCACTGGGGGCAGCCAAATGCTTGCTGCCAGAGGACAAGCTTCCTGGGTCCGGCCTTGACAGCCCTTGCCACATCATGACACAGCAGTCACCATATGGTACACTTCACTGCTAGAGTGAGGGATGGGAGGGTGGTGATGAGGATGGTGGCCCCTGCTGGAGTCCAGAGCAGGAGGAGTGGATGAGGGGGATCTTTTCGATGTCATCTCTATGCTGGGTGCTGAGTGAGGCCCCAGCACGCATCCCTGATAATCACAGCAGCTATACTGGAACTGATTGAGAACGGAAGCTTCAGGGGGTTAGCAAGATGGCTCAGCGGTTAAGAGTATGCGTTGCTCTTGTGGAGGACCCATGCTTGATTCTCTACCTACATGGCAACTTACAACTGTCAACTCCGGTCCAGGAGGACTGGATGCCCTCTTCTGACTTCAATGGGCATCAAGCATACATGTGATGCACAAAGATACGTGCAAGCAAAGCACTAATACACACACACACACACACACACACACACACACACACACACACACACGGAAAAACTTTAATCACGCTTGAAGAGTGGTTAGAGTAAAATGGGTCAGGTGACCATGGGTTCAAATCTTGGCTCTACCGCTTCTTCTAACATGTGGGTTGGGCTAGTAGTCAAATCTTTGTCTTGACATAACTGCTACGGCTATTTTAGTCAGGTGAATGACTGATTGATTGATTGATATTGAGACAGGGTCTCATTATGCAGCCCTCGCTGGCTTAGAACTCACTGTAGATCAGACTGTCCTTGAACTCACAGATCCACCTGCCTCTGCCTCCCAAGTGCTGGGATTAAAGGCGTGCACCACCATATTCAGCAGCTTTTTTTTTTAAGATTTATTTTTAGTTTTGATTATGTGTATTCATGAATGCAGGTGCCCAAAGAGGCCAGAAGCATCAGATTCCTCTAGAGCTGGAGTTACAGGTGGTTGTGAGCTGCCCAACATGGGTGCTCTGGTCCTCTGAAAGAACAGCAAACACTAACCACTGAGCCCTCTCTCTAGCACCTTCTATGGTTATTACTATCTGAAAAATAACACCTTCAAAGGACTGAATTAGATAATGCATATAAATCTCTAGGCCTAGAACAGGGAAGCCCAGCAAATGATACACAAACAAACATGTTTAGAGTTCAGGTGTGTTATTGACATCCAGAGAGGTTCCTTGGCTTGCTTGGGGTCACACAGCTGTTCAGTGCTGTAGCCAAAGTTCTTGAACAACCTTGCCTGACTCCGCGTGTCTTTCCGCTCCACTCCAGCCTCTGTCAGAACCCAACAGCCAGTGTGCTGTCGCTTGAACACAACGTAAATGATGCATCTGAGCAAGCAGCAAATCATGTTCAATTGTCTAGGTACCAAGGCAATGAAGGTTCTGGAATTTAGGGGTTGAGAGATTTAGGAGAGGAAAAGTCGTGGAGTGCCTGTGATTGTGAAGGAGCTGAGTGAGGACTCTGAGATGGCCTCCACTTCCATGCAGGTTTTCTGAGGTGTGAGCAGGCTGTGTGTGTGTGTGTGTGTGTGTGTGTGTGTGTGTGTGGTGCATGTGTGTGGTGCATGTGTGGTGTGTATGTATGGTGTATGGTATGTGTATGTGTGTGTGTTGCATGTGTGTGTGTGTGTATATGTGTGATGTGTGGTATGTGTGTGTGGTGTGGTGTGTGTGTGGTGTATGTGCTTGTGTGTGTTTAGCTTATTTTTGTCTTTGTTTGAGGCAAGATTCCTATCCTAGGCTGACCTCAAGCTTGCTATGTAGCAGCAAGCAGGGGCTTGGCGATGCCATGCCAGGGTTACTTCACCCCTGTGAAAAGAAGATGGAGGTAGGAAGGAGTCAGGCAACTGAGCCCCACGCTAACTCATCCTTAGGATCTTCGTTGAAGTACAGAAATGCACCATCAGAAATGGTTCCCACAAGAAACATTCTCTGGCTGAGCAAGGTAGCACAGGTCTTTAATCCCAGCACTGAGGAGGCAGAGGAGGAGCTCTGTGAGTTCAAGGTCAGTCTGGTCCCTTAGTTCCAGGCTAGTCAGCGCTAGATAGTCAGACCCTGTCTCAAAAACAAAAACAAAACCCAGCCACATCATCTGCCTGACGCAGATGGGTCTGACAGTATGACTGCCAGAGAGGGCCTGTGCTGAAATAGAGAACCCTTCAGCAGAAACCAAGGACAGGCTGAAGACCAGGGTGGTGGAGCATGGAGCACATCAGGGCCAGGAGCCAGCTGCAGTAGCTCT